ATTTCTTGCCACATTTCTAACTCAATAAACATTAAAACAACTTTTTTCATTAATTGCAGATGGAACTATTCAAATACTTGTATTATATTAAATTGCACTTCCAATAATCACCACTGTTTGGCGACATTTCCCTGTTTCTTCTGAGCACAAAGCAACGGGTTTCTAGGACTCGCAATGAATCATGGTATAACCAAGGCTACGGACGATACAGAAGATCTGTCGGGTGTATAATCTTCCAATCCCAACCGACCTCTATGAAGTAATCGACAGACGAATCTGGACTTTAGAGGACACAGCCGCTGAATTGAAACTCAGCAAATGAGTCGATGCAATCACCTGGTTTTACTTAAATAGAAAACTTTGAAACAATCTGACTGGATGATCTGGTTGAATTGTTTCTGTAAAGTGCATTGAGATGACATGAGGTGAAATGCTGCTATATGAATAAAGGATAAGGATAAGATAGACTTTATTGATCTCACAGTGGAGATATTCTCTTGTCACATCGGCTCAATAGTCAAAATAAAGGTGCCAAAAGGAGGAAAAGGTGCATGCGGTATATGCAGTATATACAGTGTGTCCACATATATAACAGCTGAAGTCTCTTATTTAACAGGATTATTGCGCGGGGTATTAAATGGGTATTTATAGAAATACGTATTTATTAAATATTGTTATTGTACAGGGTATTAAATATCGATTGCACATTCTTTTTGCAGTTATAGTGCTGCATTGTTGAGTCTGGTTGCAGCAGGGATGAATGACCTGCGGTAGCTCTCCTTTTTACTAACAGGGTGTAAAAGTCTTTTACTAAAGGAGCTGCTCAGCTCCTCTACAGTCTGCTGCAGAGGGTGGAAGGTGGCGTCCATGATGGATGTGTCATTGCTTTATCAAGAGCTCGGACCCACATGCAGAGAAACCAAAACATAGAGACCAGGGAAAAAGTTTAACGGGTTTATTGAGAAGCTTGTGGAGATTCCAGTGTTGCTCTGAACACTGCTCAACCGGAACTGAAAGGTGAGGGGAAGACACTGCGGTTAGTTGAGGTTCAGTGGGAAAATTGATTTTCGAATTTGAAGAAGAGAAATGGTTTGCAGACTCACGTTTCCAGAAAAATGGTTGACTCTTAGACTCCAGTCGGAGAGACGGTGTTCCAGTGTTTGTCTCTTTCGGTGGAGGGCGGACAGGGTTTACCCAGAATGCAGTTGTTTGTTAACCTGACAACAGCCAGATGCATGTCTCGCTCCGCCCAGCTCCACTCACATACATCTGGGAACCCGCTCATTG